AATCTTGAGTTTACACTGGTCCTCCTTCTCCTCCTCCTTCTACTCCTTATTCTCCTCCTCCTCCTCCTCCTCCCTCGTCCTCCCTCCTCCCTCCTCCCTCCTGCTTCCTCGATCACAGACGGGTCCTTGGTGACCAACTCGCCTCCCGCCTCCCTCCATGGGCGAACGACATATCTCTGGGCCGCGACCCCGCGGACACGTGGGGTTTTTTCTCGGATGCCCCGCGCAGAGCGTACCTGTCCGACAGCGCATCCGCTCGATCGCACCACGGAATCCAAACCGCAGAAACACCAATACGAATACGCTCGCCACTCGTGATCCGCCGGCGGGAGGGAAGCGGGAGGAGAGAGCAAGAGCGGGAGCGAGAGAGCCGGAGGAAGCGGGCGAAGGAGGAGCCAGCTGCGCCAGCCGACACGCCGGCCACATGCCCGCCACACCGGGGATGTCGTGGTCGGCGTTTCCTGGGAGGGAGCGCGCCGGCCTCGGACAGAAGCTCTGGGTCGCGGAGGGGCGCCGACGTCGAGCATTTGCTCCCTTCTCCCTCCAGCCTCCCTCCTCCCTCCTCCCTCCTGCCTCCTCCTCCCTCCCGCCTCCTCCTCCCTCCTGCCTCCTCCTCCTCCCTCCCTCCTCCTCCTTCTCCCTCCTGCCTCTTCTCGTTTCTCTCTCGGCTTCGGAGTGCTCCGCACGCGGCCATCCCCCCCCCACCCACCCTGCCTCCTCTTCCTCCTCTTCCTCCTCCTCCACCCTCCCGCACCTCCACCCTCCCGCACCTCCTCTTCCTCCTCTTCCTCCTCTTCCTCCACCACCCTCCCGCTCCTCCTCCTCTTCCTCCTCCTCCTCTTCCTCCTCTTCCTCCTCTCCCTCCTTTGCCTCCTCTTCCTCCTCCTCCTCCCTCCCTCCATCCCTGGTCATTTTAAAGAACTCTTCCCTGCCGCACCTCGGGATGTGTCGGCAGGGCGGGCTGAACGTTTCGCCTGGGACTGCCTCGTCATTTTCGATCCTGGAAGTTAAACTCTGCAGCCGCTTCACTGATGGAGGGCGGGCCGTTTCAAAAGCGTAGCTCTTGTCATAGCGCCGCGCACATTCGTCTTACCAAGTCAGCAAGAGCTTCAAGGATGGAGGGCGGTCCGTTTCAAAATGTGGTTCTCGTGTTAGCACCGCGCACATTCGTCTTCAAAGGCAGCACGAGCTTCACGGACGGATGGCAAGCCGTTTCCAGAATGTGGATCTCGCGTTAACGCCGCGCACACTCGTCTTGAAAAATTGCGACAATGTCAAGTATTCGTATGGCTTTAGTTTCAGGATCCGTGTTTGGGCCCGAGTTGGGATAGTCAGGACGCAACAGTCACGTTGATTCGCGGTGTTGAAGATCCAGCGATGGTGTACTGGCACGATTCAGGATCGTTAGGACGCAACAACCACTTTGACCCGAGGCCTTGAAGTCCCAGGAATAACGTTTTGGTGCGATTGCGGATTCTCAGACGGTTGTTTTTAAATGTGGCATGTTCTTCAATAAAATACATGTTGTGAGGATATACTGATAAAGAGATAATGTGTAGGGAGGTGTTACCGCAACATCGCTGGTGCGTCTTGGGCTTACACTAATTCTCCTCCTCCTCCTCCTCCTCATCATCATCATCATTATCATCATCCTCATCATCATCATCATCATCATCATCATCATCATCATCATCATCATCATCATCATCATCATCATCATCATCCCTCCTCTGCTCCGTAGCCGTGTTGGCTCAAGATGCTTTCCTGGGAGGCGGTTCAACCTCCAAGCAGACTGGATTGCACTAGTCCGTGCAAGGTTTCAGCATCTCCGCCTGGTCTGCCCCAGGTGCAAAGCGCGGCAAGTGGTTGCAGCGCCGTCGCGGCATGTCGCCACCTGCGGGCAAGGCCGTTCTGCGTTCTGCGTGGGGCCAAGTTGCCGACGTGGGCGTACAAGTGCGAGAGGACGGCCAACTGGGCGTGCCGCGTGGTCTGCCAGTGCGGCGCCAAGGCCCCTGCAGACGTGGCAAAGCGCGCGAGGCGGGCGGGCGCTCGCCCAAAGGCTCCGATGGCGGAGGCGGCGGCCAGAGAGACGTGGCAGCAGCGCTCGCCGCTCACAAAGGAGGTCGCCTCGCTCCAGCAGGGGGCTGCCGCAGCTGAGCCTGAGAAGTCCCCGCCGCCCGCGCACGTCGACGACCCGCTTCAGGTCTAGACCGACGCGAAGGAGGCCACGGTCGCTGACTACAAGAAGGCCAAGATCGAGGGGGCGCTGTTCACGGACGCGGAGAAGCACCTGGCCACGCTGCGGGCGCAGCGGCTGGAGGCTAAATCTCCGCAGACGCAGGTCATCACGCTCAACCTGGCGCCTCCGCAGGCTCAAGGGCAAGCAGGAGAAGCTCGAGAAGGGCAAGGATGACAAGGTCAAGGCGGTGGAGGCGGCGAGGAAGGCCCTGAATCAGTGCGTCGCTAACCAGGAGGCCCACGCCAAGGACCTCGACAACACCAGGCAGGCCATCCCCGAGGTGGAGCGCGAGGCGCAGGCGTCGCTCCAGGGCGTGGCGCCAGCCGCTGCCCCAGGAGGCGGCGCGCAGCAGGCCCCTGCGCCGGCCCTCGACGCTGCCCAGCAAAAGGCGCTCATCCAAGAGGTGCTCGCCGAGGACCGTCGTCGTCGTCATCGCCATCATCGTCAGCACCATCAGATTATGTCGTCGTCTTCGTCATCGCCACCACCACCACCACCACCGCCATCATCACCAACATCGTCACCACCATCCTCAACATCAAGAACAGCAATATCATGTCAGCAGCCATGGCAAATGTATCCTCAGTCGTCGTCGCCAGCATCTTCTCCTGGGACCAGGATCGGCCTGGCCAGGATCGGTGCCAGTGACTGGTGGGCGTCCCCCGACGTGTGTGGGTGAAGGAGGGGGACGGGAGGAGGGCTTCCGAAGGTCTTCGGAAGTTGTCTGCACGGGCGAAGCCTCTGGGGGCCTCCAGGCTGTTCCCGGCGAGGAGTTGGATCCCAGACTCCCGACGTCATGATTTTGTCATAGCTGCGACACCTGGAGGGTCTCGACATTCCCTGGGACAGGTTTTTCATCCCGAGTCAGTTTGCTGACGGTCCCGAGGCCCGGTCAGGGCCCCTGGAGGTCGAAAATGGCCAAGACGAAGACCCCTGGCATGACGGAAAGGGGCCAATCTGTGACGTTCTTGCATTTGTTATACGAATGTGCGCGGCGCTAAGACAAGAGCCACATTTTGAAAACCACCTGCCCTCAGTCCGCGACGCTCGTACAGAATTTTAAACAAATGTGTGCGGCGCTAAGGCGAGAGCCACATTTTGAAAACCACCTGCACTCCATCTGTGAAACTGTTGCCAGTTTTCAAGCTTCAGGCTCATAAGTTGTAAGGAAGTCTCTGGCGAAACGCCCAGTCCGCCCTTCCGACTGGCCTTTGGGGTGCGACAGGGAGGAGTTTTTCACAAAGAAAAGGAATGGATGTGCAGGAGGAGGAGGGGAGCAGGAGGAGGAGGAGGAGGAGGAGGAGGAGGAGGAGGAGGAGGAGGAGGAGGACGTGGAAGCTCCAACCTTGAATCTAATACCAACAGTGCCCAGTGCCCAGGAGGAATAGGAGGAGCCCTGCCATGGGCTCTGGCTGGCTGGCTGGCTCTTCGCCGTTTCTGGCCCATCGGGGCCCTTCCTGGGGCGCCCAGGGCGGCAGTCACCGGCTCAGAATGAAAAGGCGGGTCCAGGGCGGGTCGTTTTCAAAAAGTAGCTCTCGCCTCAGCGCCGCGCACATTCATTCAAAGCTCCACGGATTGAAGGCGGGTCGCTTTCAAAATGTGGCTCTCGCCTTCGCGCCGCGCACATTCGCTTTAGAAATCTGCCAGAGCTTCACGGATGGAGTGCGTGTCGTTTTCAAAGTTTGCGTATCGCCCTAGCGCCGCGCACATTCATGTCAATAATTCGCAAGAGTGTCACGGACTCTCGTGGTTAACGTTTCAGAAGTGGCGTTTTAGAACGGTTCAAGATTGTCAAGGCGCAGAAATTATGTAGATTCGTGGTGTTGAAATCCCTGGAATGGTGTTCTGGCACGACTGAAAAGCGTCAAGATGCAACAGTCAGGTTAACTCGTGGCGTTGAAATCCTGAGAATGGTGTTTTGGCACCGCATTTTCACACTGTTGCCCCCAACGGAGCAATACCCTGAGCGGAAATGAACCCTTGTAGGAGCCTATGAAGAGGGAGTTTGGAGGAAGGTTGTATTCCAATATCGCTGATGAGTCTTGGGTTTACACTGGTCCTTCTCCTCATCCTCATCCTCCCCAACCTACTGATCCTCCTCCTCCTCGTCCTCCTCCTACTCCTGCTCCCCAAACATCTGGGGTCTCGACTTGTTCGAGACACGGGCCCCCGACCTCTCGACCACTTCCCCCGGACTGGTTTTTCATCACGAGTCGTTTTCGTGGACGGCCCCGAGCACCAGCAAGGGCCTCGGGAGGTCGAAAACGGTGCAAAACCTCCGTCCAGAGCTGTGCAGGACGCCGGGTGCTTGGGCCCTCGCTCCACTCAGGACCGTAGATCGACCAAATAGTGTAACCCTTGACTCCGCCCCCCCTTTTCTCCCCCCAGATACCAAGTTGGCCCCAGGCATTCAGCAGCACAGGCGTGAGAGGACAAAAAAACCGGAAGCCCCAGGCCCTCCGCGAGGCCCGACCCTAATTTGAGTCTGGGGGGAGGGGGTGGGGGCAAACACGGGGTCGAACCTGAAGGGATCTGCAGTCTGACTCAGGCCAGAAGAACATCCCTCAAGAACATGATGAGACCATCCGTCGGCCAAAACACGCAGGACATCCAAGAGCAGCCTCCCCAGGATGCACAAGAACATCCAACAAGCACGAAGAACACGAGGGTACCCTCCCCGAACCGACCTCGATCTCGTGTCTCGGTCAGACTGTACCTCTCTGCCCCCCTTACCGCACCACCTTCTCTGGACCCGGAGGGCCTCGGCCACGTCCACCAGGGGGCCCACGACGTTGCCGGCCACGTCCATGGAGGCCATGGTGTCCGTGGAGACCTGCCGCCGCCGCCCGCTCCCCTCCCGCGCCCGCCGCCCCCGCTCCCGCCCCTGGCTCCCGCCCCCGCCCCCGACACTGCCGCCAGGAGGGAGAGGAGGAGGAGGAGGAGGAGGAGGAGGAGGAGGAGGAGGAGGAGGAGGAGGAGGAGGAGGAGGAGGAAAGGGAGGAGGAGGAGGAGGAGGGAGAGGAGGAGGAGGAGGAGGGAGAGGAGGAGGAGGAGGGAGGAGGAGGAGGAGGAGGAGGAGGAGGAGGAGGACGGGGAGAGAAGGTGGTGGTGGAGGAATAGGATTTAGCTTGACATCCACGGCCAAAGACCCCAGTCGGGGCAGAGAGACCCAACGCCAGGAGGAGGAGGGAGGAGGAGGAGGGAGGGGAGGCTGATTCAGGCTGATTCAGAGCATGGAGCGAGCTGTATCGCATCCAGCGAAAACTTCGTAAAGACCGATGATATTTTAAAAGTGAAGGAACATGGTCCCCTCGGGTCTGCGGATCCATGGCCCACCTCGTGCGCTCCGAGAGGCGCCAGTCCACCGCTTCCCGCGGATCGGAAAAGCCATGCAATGCAGAGACCCTGCTGTCGCCTCTGAGGCACTGCCAGGTGACGAGTACATTGGACAGGCGTTGCCACGTGACGAGTAGAGTAGAATAGGAGTTTACTCGCCCCGCTGGCTTGCCACTTGGCGAATTGAGTAGAGTTGCACGTTCTCCGCCCCGTTGCAATGCCATGCGTCGAGTAGAATAGATTCGCACCGTGTCGCCCCTCAAGCGGTGCCACGTGGCGAATGTAGACTACATTCGCCACGTGGCAGCGCCGGATTGGCCCCGGCGCCTCAATCTAACCTGACCGGCTGACCTTCGACTACCCAGGCAGTTCCGCCCAGCCGCATTGGCACGTGGCGTGTAGAGTCATACATCTTACTCCCTCTTCTGTTGCAACGTAGCAAACGGAGTGCGGCATTTCCTTATCCTCCCCTGCCCCAGAGTGGAATAGTACTTTGTTTCCAACCCCCAGGCGTGGCCACACAACGAATAGAATGGAATAGTAGCCCCCAGGAGTTGCCACGCGACGAGTAGATTAGCATAAAAAATGCTTGACGCCCCCGCTGCATTACCAGATGGCGAGCATAATGTAATCATATGTGTATCATCCCCAGGCTTGGCCACGCAACGTGTATAGTGGAATGGGAACTGTTATCCGCCCCCAGGCGTTGCCAGTTGGCGAGTAAGAGTAGAATTGTATGTTCCCCGCCCTGCTGCGTTGCCACGTGCAGCATAAAATAGATCGTATTGTTTCGACCCGGGACGAATGAGGAGTGGACTGATGTTTTTATCCGCTCCAGGGGTTGCCACGTCACGAGTAGTAGAATAGGCGTTGTTGACGCCCCGCCCGCTGCGCTGCCACGTGTCAAGTAACACGTATAGTGTGTTGTCGCCCCTGAGGGGGTGCCACGTGGCGAACAGAAAAAACGGCCCGCTGCGTTGCCACGTGCTGAATGCAATCGAACAATACGCCTCTCCCCCAGGCGCTGCCACGTAACGATGCAGTGACATACTGTCTGTTTTGCCCTCTTGCGCTGCCATGCGAGGGGTAATATGGAATAGGTCAACCGACCGCCCAACCAATTCATCGACCAATTAGTCCGCCGGGCCATCGGGAAAACTGGCCAACCAACCAAACCATGAGGTGCAATGCCAACCCGCGTCGCGCCGCCATCCTCCCGACCAACCGACCAATCAACCGCTTGGCTAACCAACCAACTGACCAACCAACCACCCAACCAACCAACCGCAACCAACCGCCCAGCCAACGGACCAACCGACCAACCAACCAGCCAGCCAACCAACAAACCTACCGACGAACCAACCAACCGACCAACTGGGCAACAAATCGACCAACAAACCACCCAACGAACAACAAACCAACCGGGCAGCTGGTCAACTGGGCAACTGGGCAACAGGCCACGGCCACCAGGCCACCCAACCAACTGACCGTACTTCCGCCTTGCTGCCTTGCAATTTGGCGAGTAGAGCCGAGTAGAGCAGAACTGTATTTTTGTCCGCCCCGCTGCGTTGCCACGTGGCGAGTAAAATCGTATGGTGTTTTGTTCGCCCCTGAGAGGTTGTCACGCGGCGAACACAAAAATCCGCCCCGCTGCTGTGCCACGGGGTGAATGCAATCGAACTGTATGTCTCTCCCCCCAGGCGACGCCACGTAACGAATACTGTTAAATACGATGTGTGCCCGCCCTCTTGCTCTCCGATGCGAAGAATAACATAGATTAAGCCAATCAACCAACCGCCCAACAAAATAACCGACCAATCAGTTCGCTGTGCAACCCGGCCAATCTGCCAAACGATGACGTACCGTGCCGCGCCCGCGCCGCGCCGCAATCCATCCAACCAACCGACCAATCAACCGATCCATGAACCAACCAACTGACCATCCAACAAACAAACCGCAACCAACCGCCGAATCAACGGACCAACCGACCAACCAACCAACCAACCCACCAAACAACCAATCGACCAAACGACCGACGAACCAACCAACCGAGCGGGCAACCAACCCCACCCCTCGAACCAACCAACCAACCAACCACCCGGGCAAGCAGGCAACCGGCCACCCGACCACCTAACCATCCGACAACTTAACTTCATGTCCTTGAAAGTAAATACACAAACATTCAAATATGCGATTAGACCCCAGAACAATCATTGAAACCTGTAAGATGTGTTGGTCCTGCTCCCGTGCCAGGCGGGCCAGGCACCAGAAACAGCAGCACACATTATTGTAATCTCTAATGTTGTGGAATGAAGCCGAGGGCCGAGGAGGAGGGGGGGAGGAGTGATGGCCCGGTGCGCCGAAGAGGAGAGCCATCAAGAGGGGGCTAGCGCATCATGGCCCGAGGGGGGCCATGAAAACTAGGAGACATCGTGGCCCCAGTCATGACGTACGCCCCTCCCAGTCCTCATGCACCTCCTGGACGCCCTCGAGAAGAGAAGGGGGGAGAGAAGGGGGGGGGAGGAATGAGGGGGAAGGGGGAGAAGAAAGAGGGAGCTCCCAGATGTCCCCCTCCTGCTCGCACCAAGCAGTTACGGTCCAAACTGATGGCAAGGATGCGCGGGTTAAGGATGCAAGCCCCCTGGACGCCCATGTCGAGAAGCTTTTCGAGCGGGGCTGCCCATCGAAAGGGGTCAACGATGGACCGCGGAGGCAAAGATGCAGGGGTACCTACCCTTGTCATCGGCTTCGACTGTACTCTCTGCTGCCCCTAATCTGTCTATCGGCGCGCGCGCGCGCGGCGACGCGCCCGAGCGGCTGCGGCCGCGGCCGGGACACGGGGCGAGCCACGGGCTTCGATCCGAGAGAGCCGCCGAGGTCGCCACCCTCGCTGCCTGGCGCAGAGAGAGACGGCCCCCCGCCACGCCCGGCACGAGCGGCGAAGGCCTCAAGAGGGCACCTCGAAGACCTCCACGGGCCTGTGGGCGAGCTGCCCCCGACCCGGGCCTCGGGAGGGTCGCGCGGCGCGGCTGTCACCCTCGCGCCCCCCCGGCGTGAAGGGAAGAGGCGGACCAGAAGACAAGCCACACCACCCCACCTGCGGCCCCACGGGGCTTAGCGTATACCCGGGCATCGGGCGTGGGCATGTACATGTTGTACACGACGGTCTCCGATGAGCCGTAGCGCAACATGAAGGCCGTAGGTGGGGTGGTGTCGCTTGTTTTCTGGCTGGTCGAAGGGGAAAGCACAAGGAAAGAGACGCGAAACGCGCATGGGCCCCAACAGCAGCCGCAGCCGCCCCGCGAGCGGCGAACGCATCCATATCCGCGCGCTCGCGGTCTGGATTCCGGGGCGCCCTCCCGCGGACACGCGGTCGCACGGGCACACGTCGGTCGGAAGAAGTATGTAAAAACGTGAAGTAGGAAGGCGGATCAAGTAGATGGGTTCAGACCCCCAGAGAAAAACAAAACACAGCAAAGGCAGATCCATAATTGAAGCAGGAAGGCGCTGAAAGTAGATTGGGATCTGGAAATCCGACAATGCCTACTTTTAACGACTGGCATGTACGTTCCGCACGGAGAATCCGCGAACAAATGCCCCGTATCCGCGGGGTCGCGGCCAGGGGCCCGGCCCGCGAGGCCGCGGATACGGATACGTTCTCCTCCCAGGATCAGGCGGGAGAGTCCGCCCACAAGGCGGTGAGCGGCCTCTCGGCGGTGGTCGACGGCATCCTCCAGAGGCAGGAGGCGACCACGGCGTCGGAGATCGACAGGCTCCGCGCAGAGATCGAGGCGCTACAGGGGCGTGCCGCCGGCGACTGGGGCGTACCTGGTCACAACGCCCAGACCGCCCTTGCACGAGGGGAGCACATCAGCGTGCACCCACCTCGCACGAAAACGACAGCAGCGGGGGCCGATTCGTCGGAGTCCGGGCCGACGGTCCGCGGCACGGCGTGTCAGACGCCTCGGGGTGGCGTCTGGCCGCGGCGGGCAGGCGGCTACCGCGGCGACGGGATGCGGAAAGCCCAAGCTTTCGGCGCTGCACAGCGCCTCCCCCCCCTCCTCCTGCTCGAGCTCGAGCTGGCGGCAGTGTCGTCCGTAGGTCGATGCCGTCGAGCGGGTCACCTCCGACCCTCGGTAAAGGGGAGGGGCACCGCAACACTGCCGGATGATTAGATTGTCAGGTGGCACCAATCTGCAATCATCCACATGAACACTATGAACTTATGTGTTGGGAAAACATGCCGTCACACGGCTCGCTACCACAGCTCGCTGAGTAGCAGGACAAATGCATGGTGCGGAGGAGAGATACGCAGCTAGAGATATCCATGCTGGCGCGATGGCAAACCGAAAGCTGCACCCATCCCCCCCCCGCTAAAACCTCCTCATCACCCGAAGGGTGGTCTAAGAGACATGGATGATATGTCGCCGCGCCGTTTGTTCGGAACACGCCTAGGTATACGAAGCAAGCACCGCGGCAAATCCACGGTCAACTATGCGTCCAAGGCGGAATTTGCCCTGGTGGCCGAGGCGCTCTCCCCAAGACGGAAGGCCGAGAGTTGGAACCAATAGCGCGGCGACATATGTTCGTCACTCGTGGCCGACGCCGATTGGACCCGCAGGGCTCGCAAGTGGCCGCAAAGGCCCGAGACCTCCGTGCGTCCGATGGGCATGGGCAGCTGCGGCTGCTGCGGACGGTGCCCCGGCAGGACCGCCTCTGGGCGGGCCGGGCCAAGGGGGGGAGGCCGGGAGGCGGCGGCGGCGGCAAAAACGACGAGGACGGAGACGACGACGACGACGACGACGACGACGACGACGACGACGACGACGACGACGACGACGACGACGACGACGGCGATGGCGACGGCGACGGCGACGGCGACGGCGGCGGCGGCGGCAGCGACGGAGACGATGACGCCGACGGCGGCGGCGGCGGCGAGACTGGCAAGGTCGCGGCGGTGGCAGCCCAGGCCGCTCGCCAGGGCTGGCTTAATGGGCGAAGAACGGTGTAAAATGTTTCGCCATCGGGGACGCCAGTCCCTGGGCGGCTGGAAAGTTTATACTCCTACGGTAGCATGTCAGGGTATAAACTCTCCAGCCGCCTTGAGACAGGGGCACCCCGGCGACGGAAAAGCTTATCGTATGCCGTTCTTCGACCGCTGACTGGCGCGCGGGGCGGACGAAGACAACCCCTCGAGGAGGTTCGGGGTTCGAGGTTCGAGTGTCGAGGTGTGCGCCCAGCCGCGCCCCCGCTTGGGCTGCAGACACGCGGTGCGCGACCGCCGCCGCTGCGGCAAGAGCTGCTCTGGCGTGCTTCTGGCCATTTGGGGGCCTCTGGGACGGCTCCGCGCCTCCACGGCCAGATTCCCCTTCGGAATTCTGGCCAGGGCACACCCCATGACAAACCCGGAGGGGGCGTTTCGGAGGCCCATGTTGCGCAGATCATCGGGCCAAGAAGCGCCCGATGATATCATGAATCGACCCTCCTCCCACCTGGGCACCAGGCGGGCAGATGTGTCCAATCCTGCGTCCTGACCCCGTCGCGGCTTCGGGAGGGGGGGGATGGGCGGTCTCGGGCCCCGGGCCATCAAGAGTGGACTTAGGACGAAGAACTGCCCCCGAGGAAGGGGCCGAGACCTTTGGAGCCCGCGGACAGAAAGGATCAATGCATCGAATGTCTGGGAGGGCAAGGGGGGCGACAGGTAAGTAGGAAGGGATGCCCAGACATCCCGCGGCTCGAAAAAATCGAGGCCCCTGGTTGTTCATCACCTGGGATTTTTCCAAACCTGTCTCGGACCCAGGGACCATCAAAAAAAGCTCCTGATGAAAAACAACACCGGGGAAGGAGTCGAGAGACCTGTAGGCCGTCGCATACGGGCATAGTGAAAGTTCACGATGGGCACTGTCCCCCAATTCAGGCTCCAGAACCCTCATGGATCGATCCGACTCGAAGACTCCTGAATATTGGAATGGGATCTCCTGGTGGTGATGTTCCACGACCTCGCATGTTATGACGACCCCAGAACCTGGGGGGGAGGGAGATTGGGCATGAGGGCAAGGGCGACATCGGGAAGATGTACAAAATGTGGATTCGAACTCTACGAACCCATCGTCTCAGGAAAAGCTCGCAGGATGATTCGGATGGGCTTGCCCGAGACTGTCGAATCGGAGGCATCCTTAAGCTTGTCTGCACGACCCCTCTAGAAAAAGCCTGCATGCTGAAGCGAGCAGGCGTGCACCAGGCGCAATTTGGCACCCTGCAAACCAGACGAGGACGAGGGGGGAGCTGGGAGGGATGAGCGCCAACGAGCCAGATGCAACTCGTCAGTTTGAGCAACACTGGTTGAATGGGGGGATGATCGAAATCAGATGTTGAATGGCGACGGACTCATGATATAGCATGCGCCCTGTGTGTCTGCTGGAGGCCACGGTCTGAATATAGGGTAAGTCGGTGATCTGTTGCTCAGCGGGTCGCGGCGGCGGCCTGGCGACACGCTGTACCTTGCAAAAACGGATAACGTGTCGCTCCGCTACGCGGGGCGGGAGACTCGGAAAGGCTCGGGACGTTGCCTCTTTGAAAGGGGGACGTGGATAGCGTGTCGCACCGAAGCGTGGTGAGCCAGAACCGGCGTCGCGACACGCTAAGCCGAAGTTCCTGGTCGTATACGGGCTGAGGAGCACTTATCCTAACTGTTTACGAGAGCCACGGCAGCCACCGAACTAGCCATGGATACTGTAAGGCACAGCCCGTTCCGCATTGACTATCCCCTTCATCCTCCTCAACCTCCTCCTCCGAGGCGCGCGTGACCTCCCAGGTGCGCTGCCCTGATGCTGGCGTGCACGCGGACGCACCCTCGATCGGGGAGCAGAAACAGTGTCAATGACGCGCCGCCGTGGGGGACGAAGCTGCGTGCTGCTGCTGACGAGGCACCGGGCCTTCGGTCAAAAACGAAGAAGCAACACGCTGATGAGCTCCCTGCGGCGGCGTGCCCTTGGTGCTCGTTTCCCCTGTCGATTCGAGGAGGAGCCGCGCACGGGAGGACGCCACCCGTGCAACACCAGCCCCGGGGGCCCCGAGACGGGCCTGGCCAAGAGCGGTGTTGGTGCACGGCTGGAGCCCCCTGTCTGATTCGCGACAACGCCCGTGACCGGCCCAGCCACGCCGCCACGCCATCTCTCCCCCTCGGGTGTTGCCAGAAGTGCCCCTGGCCCAAGGTGCCCCCAGGATGTCCAAGGAGGCCCCCACGTCCTCCAGAGCACGCCTCACAAGGCCCTGGGGGCCCGAGGGGCTCCAAAATGGAGCGAAAAGCTGGGGACACCCTGGGCAGGGAGCACCTTTAACAATCCCCGAACCCCCTCACTGGTCACGTCACGATTCGCGCCGGTGCCGTCTGGGCATTAGCCATTCCTAAGCATTCCCAGACGGCGCCAGCGCGAAACGCGACGGGAGCGGTCCCCTCCCCCCGTTCCCCCCAGTCACGGCTGCTTCGCCAGGAGAAACAAGAACTTCTCTTGGCGCCCCACGAATGCCGAGGGGGCCTCTGCAGAGGCGTCGGCCATCGCTCCGAGAGCGGGGCGTGGGGAACGCCCCGCTGCTGGGATGCCACGACAACTGCCGAACAATCCCAGGAGGCGTGGCGACGACGACGACGACGACGGCGATCCTGGCTGTGACGAGCGCTGACCGTCCGAACGAGAGTACTTGTGAGCGACTTGCTACAGCATGGCCGCTGCCCACGATACTCTTGATCTGGGCCCGGGCGCAGGGCTCCTTGACCCCTGGCACCGACGCAGGGCTCCTTTGACCCCAACAGCGACGATCTCCAGCGCGCATTCCCGCACGTGCATGCAACGGAAAGAATACAACCCCACTCCAAATTCAAGTCTGGCTGGTCATATGCCGAATCCAAGACCCAAAAGGGGGCATAGTACAGAAACGGGGGCCGCTTCGCTTGGATGCCTTCTGGCCCTGCGCCTGGTCGATCTACCGACGAAAAGGGCGAAATCGGCACAGACACCCCGAGGTTCGCCACACACAGCACAGCACGCGAGCATTCCCTTAGGACGGGTGGGCTCACTGCACGTGCCCAGGTTCGCCCGAGGCCCCAGGGCTCAGACCGACACGCACGAGCTGGTGGGGCTGCATGCCAGGCCGTCGACCTCGCTCTTGCCTCGCACTGCCCCACGCCCGTCTCCGCCCACCTCCTCCTGGGGGGGGAGGGCAAACAGATACCGATGCCAGTGCTCCATGGACCCCTCCCCTCGCCATCGCTCGGACCGGACGCCCATTCCCTGCGCAGCTTTCGGTTCCGTGCGCGTATTTTTGTCGCAAGGTGTTCAGAAATGCTCCTCGATGGCACCTGCCGAGAATGAGTGCACACGTCCGAGCGATGCCAAGTCCCAGGGCGCGATCTGACCAGGACTCGGAGGCGGCTCTGGCAGTGGCGACGAGAGGCCCCCCGCCCCTCGCCCCAGGCGGCCCAGAGGGGCGAACACGAGGGAAGGGTATCGGCATCGGCACGCGTGCAGTCGAAACGCTGTCACAAGGAACCCTAAATCAGGAACGAGGGCCCCTTTTCTCCACAAGTTGGACGTCGATCCCCCTGGAAGGCCCAAAGAAAGCCCAAGACAAACTGTGAAACGAGTAAGGAACACTGAGCCCCTCCCTGACGAAAAGGGCTTCTTCTTCAGCGGCCCGACTGCATCTCCCCCCGCTGGCTCCTTCCCAGCGGCCTCCAATTGGGACAGCGAGGCGCCAGAGCTCCCCCACGCGCTCGCCTGGAGCCTGGGCGCCCTGGCAGCCAGCGGCGCGCTGTCGCGGCACCCGGCCTCGTGCGGAGGCGCACGGCCGCCAGAGAAGTCCAGGACCATCTTGGCGCCTTCGCCGTCGTCGTCGCCGTCGTTGTCGGACGTCGTCGGACGTCAGTCTCGTCGATCTCGTCTGCCCCGTCCCCGCCGTCGTCGTCGTCGCCGTGGGCGGCAGCGCCGCGCGGCCTCTGTTGAATCGCCCGTCGCGCTTGTCGGTCTTGATCCGCTTGTTGGCCTTGTCCATCTGCGAGACGTCGACCTCGAGCGTGCTCATGCAAAGCGGGTCGGAGCTCATCGGGGCCTCCTCCCTGTCGTGCATGAAACCAGTGTGGAAGACGAAATACGCCAAAAGGCCTCGGGACTTGTTGAAGTTATTGGGAGACGCAAGCATCGCCTCACGAGCGCTGAAATCTTTGCCTTTGTCGGCGAACAGCGCAATACGGACGTCTCCCTTGACAACGATGTCGTTCAGACTCACGCTCAAATCGCTGGGATCGAAAGCCTCTGTCTCCAAAATCGGTTCCGTCAAATTGTTGCATCCCTCGAAGCACTGAACCATCACGCGCAAGCGCTTGATCTCCTCTGGGTGCGCGAAGAAGTTTCCGTCGATGGCCAGCTTGTGCAGGGTGGCTGTCGGGGTGGGGACTGGTGGAGGCAGCGCTGGGCTGTGAAGCCACGAATCCGTCCTTTAGAGGGGCAAAACACGGCATAAAGATGAACTATGGGAGGTCCGCGCGGATTTCTTGGATCCGCGCTAGAGCTTTATCCCTGGCGCGCGGAGCGCGCCAGGGGCGATGCAGGGAGCGCCACCACAGGAGCCCAGCGTCGACCCAAGAATCCGCGCGGGGAGTCGAAACTAAATGTTTGCGCAGTTGTTTCTTCTTCGATCCTCTGCAGATGCTGGAACAGCTGGTTCACGTACCTGACCTGCGACGGTGTCTCTACACCGCGCAACTTGCGGGCAATGCGCGTGTCGGTCCTTCTCTGCGCGAAGACTTGGAGGGCCTGCTCAGGCGTCTTTTGCCGTTTGGCGTAGAGCAGCCAGGCGCAGCACAAGGACCCGGTGCGCCCCTTGCCCGCCTTGCAGTGCACGGCGATTACGTTGTCCTGCTTAATTTCCAGCTCAGGAACATCCCTCCATATAACCGTGACGAATTCCAACGCAGAATTATGTGTGTATGTGCAACTGCATGTATACATGAATATGCAAGTACGCATGTCCGTACTAAGATTTCAGGAGCGATCCAGCAACGGGGTCCCACTCCTTAGGTGACCCAAGAAAGCCTTGCCTAGGAAGCCTCCTTAGGGGACCCACTGAGAGAGGAGCCAGTCGTGCTACGCGTATCGGGCGCTAAACATATGTCGAGCTGCGCGGTAAAGTACCAAAGATGTGCAAATGAAGAAGGCGCATCAAACACGCAAAGAATGATGATATGTGTTTTCTGCTAGCGATCTCGTGAGATAAACAACTATACCCGACAAACAACTCAATCAGTGGATGGGATGACATCTACCTAACAAATCATACATGTATACACACATAGAACGATACACTGGAACATATATACATACATGCATACGTGCGTACATACATACATGCATACATGCAGACGTACGTGCGTACATACATCCATACATACATACATACATAAATACATGCATGCATGCATGCATGCATGTATGCATACATACATACATGTATACGTACATACATACATACATACATACATACATATATACATACATACATGCATGCATACATTCATACATACATACATACATGCATGCATATAGACATACATACAAACATACATACATACACGCGTACATGCATACAGACATACATACATACGTGCATGCAAGTATGCGTACATTCATACGTACAGGCATACATACATACATAAACACATACATACACACACATACATACATGCATGCATACATACGTGTATGCATGCATGCATGCATATACATATACATGTGTATATATACATAAACACATGTATATATATATATATATATGGGTGTACGCATATCTATCCATATACATATACGTGTACATATACATATGCACATATATATATGTGCATACCGATATATGAGTGTGTATATATGTGTATGCGTATGTACGTGTGTAACTGATGCAAGCACATATGTATATTAACGTTACATATGCACATACACACTCCGTATCCATTCCTCTCCCCCTCTATGGTGCATGTATATGTGTGTATATATATACATATACATATGTTCTGTCATATATGTTTACAATTCGGGCGGAACGCGAAAAGGGTCCCCCCCCCCCCAAAAAAAAAAAAACGGACTCCTGGGATCTGGGGCTTTGGGACCCTCTGGGCGGGCCTCGAAGCGACCCCCGGGCCTCGCAGGGCGTTTTGCCAAGCCGTCCCAGCACACCTAAGGCGATCAGGGGGGTCATCGGAGACGTCCCAGAGACCCCCAAGACAGCACAAGAGCGATCCGGAGTGACAGACGTGACCTCCAGACGGCCCAAGAGGCCTCCAGGACGGTCCCAAAGAGGCCTCTAAGAGCACCCCCAAGAAGGCCCCAAGAGGCAAAAATCATTGATTTTCTGTTGGTTTTTGGTGAATTTGTGGGCTCTCCTCTTTTCGGCTTCCCGACGCTCCAAGACGGCGGTCTTCTGGGCGTCCGAAGCCGCCTGGGAGGCTCCAAAATCGCCCCACAACCATCCGAAAGGGCTTCCGGGCAGTCCAAGAGAGCCCCAAAACGGCACAGCACGGGTCCAAGATGGCCCTCAGAGAGCCCCATGGCGGCCCAAGATGGCCCCAAAACACCCTCCGAAGCATTCCAAATCGTGACCTGGTCGTTCAGGGAGACCGCGGTTGGAGGCAGGGTGGCCCGAGGAAGCCCCCAGAATACGCCCAGGAGGCCTCCAAAAGGCCTTAAGAAAGCCTGAAACCAACTTTTGTGAGGCCCCCAGAGGCTCTCCAGGGAGGAGCCTCCGCAAAAAAGAGCTGCGGAGGATGGGGAGAATGCGCAGGGCATGGCGAAAATGAAGAAAAAGAAGCATGGAGGAAGGATAACGAATGACATTATTATAGCGGCGATGCCGGAAACGGCAACAAGGAGTTATCGCTAAATTGTCGGCTTGACCTTCCTGCTATTCCGCCTGCACACCAAACTTCAAGGACCAAGGTGCATGGCGCGAAGCGCCAATGCAGTCTTGTATATATATATATATATATATGCATACATACATACATACATACATACATACATACAGACACACATACATACATACATACATACATTACATTACATCACATTACATTACATTACATTACATTACATTACAATACATTACATTACATTACATTACATTACATTACACTACACTACACTACATTACACTACATTACATTACATACATACATACATACATACATACATACATACATGCATACATACATACATGCATGCATGCATGCATGCATGCATGCATACATACATACATACATACATAAATACATACATACATACATATAATATGGGGGGGGAGGGGGGGGGGGGGGGGGGGCGAACCCTGGCACCAAGAACTGGGACCCCGGGAACCTAGCCGCCCACCGAAACCAATCTGGAACCCGGAAGCGGGAACCCGGAACCTAAAGCCGGGATTCCAGCCGCCCACCGAGACCAATCCGAAACCCGGAAACGGGAACCCGGAAACCAAAACCGGGAACCCGGGAACCCGGGAACCCAGCCACCTACCGAAACCGGCGGCGAACCTTCGCCGAGACCAATTCGAAACCCGGAAACGGGAACCCCGAAACCAGAAGCGGGAATCGGAAGCCCTGCCGCCTACCGAAACTGGCGGCGAACTTTCCCAAAATCTTTGGATATCCGCTAGGAGCCCTACAGCCTGCAATGCAAGCACTGACCAGGGAATATCCTCAAACATCTCGCGTGTAAATACCGCGCGCGGTCAGCCGCACATCACCCCGGCAAAACTTGAATGCACACGCCCAGGTCCGAGCGACAGGGAGGGAAAGGACCGAAGGTGATTCGGGAACGCATCCCCCGGCGCAATGTCTTCGCACCAGCGAGGGGCCCCATCAGGGGGCGAAACTGACGCAAGACCAACGCTGCACCTGTGTTTGTCCGGACAGCGAGGGATGGGGAAAACGGAAACGCACTCTGGGACACGCCGAAGCCTGGGACAGGAGGGAACGGAGGGGGGGTCGACATTTAGGGAATTCCCTTTTTTCAAGTTGGCCCTGGACGCTCCCAAGAGCACCCAAGATCGCCACAAGAGGCCTCCGAGAGTACCCCAAGATCTCCAGAGAAGCCCTCGAGAGGCCAAAATCACTGAAAAGCCTAAAGAACATTATGATTTTTGTGTTGTCGCATTCCCGCCTCCGATACACTTCCGAGACTTGCGCATGCCCCCGAGAGCCGCTCGGGGCGCCTCTTGGGGGTATCTTAAAGCTCTCTTGGGGGCTTCTTGAAAGCTCTTGAGGGCCTCTCGGGGCCCTCTCCTGCGCTGGGTACCTCTGGGGCGGCTCCTATGAGGCCTCGGTGGTGTCCCTTCGGGTGTCATGGGATCCTTTTGTACGTAGCCTCTTGTTGCAATTTCGCGCTGCTCGGGACGCCACGTAGGGGGCATCTGGGGGCTATCTTGGGGGGGATGCGCAAGCCTCGGAAGCGTGTCGAAGGCGGAAGTGCAAGGACAGCCTTGGAGCACTCTTGGGCTGTCTCGGGGACATCCTCGGCCCTCCAGTGGCTCTCTTGGACGCCCGGGGGGGTGGTACTGGGGATTTGCAGCCGAATGTGGCGGCCTGGACTCTCTCTGTCTCTCTCTCTCTCTCTCTCTCTCTCTCTCTCTCGCTCTGTCTCTCTGTCTCTCGCTCTGTATCTCTCTCTCTCTCTTGCTCTCGTTATTGCGCTCTCGCTCTCGCTCTCTCTCTCTCTCTCTCTCTCTTTCTCTCTCTCTCTCTCTCTCTCTCTCTCTCTCTCTCTCTGTTCCCTCTCTCTCTCTTCTCTCTCTCTCTCTCTCTCTCTGTTTCTCTCTCTATCTCTCTCTCCTTCTCTCTCACTATATATCTATATATAATATATATATATATATTATATTATATATATGTATGTATGTACATATATATATATACATTATATATATATATATATATATATATATGTATGTATGTCGACATGTGTCTATATATCTCGCTATACCTATATATATATGTGCATGTGTGTATGTGTGTATGTGTATACGTATATACGCAAACATAGACATACATACATATCGATCTATATATATATATGTATACATATATATAAATATACACATACATACAGACATACAGACATACATACATACATACATGCATGCATGCATACATACATACATACATACATCCTAGGACAACGCGCGCGCTACGCGCGCGCTTTGGTTCTAGTCGCAGGTGAGACACGGGTGCCGCTGTAAGCCCCGCTGTGGTCACAACGACACTTTCCAGCGTTCTCGGGCCCATGCCATCGACGCAAGGAAACGCGTAGTCAGAACGCTCTCGCTCTGCCAGGGCCGCCCTTGAGGGGTGGGAGGGGGAAAGCAACTTGTGAAATGATAGGGTATAGCGATGCCCCGCTCGCTCTGGCGGGGACTGACTGGCGCTCTGGCGGGGCGGGGCCGTCCCAGGAGAGGAGAGGCAGGAGCACGAAAGCCGAGGGGTCAGGGGCAGAGCGAGGAGGGAATGGAGGGAATGGAGGCAACGGGAGGGGGCGGGAGGGGAGGAGGAACGGAGGGGGGAGGCCCGAGCCATCTGGGCCGTGTTGGAGCGTTTTGGGGCCTCTCGCCCACGCTCTGTGACCAGTTTGGGCCTGTCCCGGGGCTCTCTTGGGCCGTCTGGGGCTCCTCCTGGACTATTCTCGGGCTCCCTGTGGCCGTCTTGGGGCTCTTTTGGGGGGCCTCTTCGGCGGTTTTGGGGCGGTCTTGGGGGCGTCTGCGGCCGTCTTCGAACATTGGAAGCTCGAGAACGCGAGCACGAAAAAAACATCGAACAAACCAATGCAAATCAATGATTTGGGCCTCTATGGGCTCTCTCGGGACGTCTCTTGGAGCTCTC